ATCACCCGGCGTCCCGGGTGGAAGATTCCAGGTGGAGGGGAAGGGACACAGAGTGACAGACAGGCATCTGGGGTAAACAGGGGGGGTGACTCGGCATTTTTGGGGACAACGGACTCGTGGGGAGAAATGGGAAAACCCAGGGAGAACTGTTACAGAACCAGGGGTACATAGAACAAACCTATAAATAATACAAATGTAGTAAAACATAAAAAACAAAACTCCACAAACAAACAAACAAAAAAAATGGCAGCAAAGAGGACGAGGTGGCCGAGTGGTTAAGGCGATGGACTGCTAATCCATTGTGCTCTGCACGCGTGGGTTCGAATCCCACCCTCGTCGGGTCCCCTGTGAGCCTTCACTTGAGGTGTGTCTTTTGGTGCAGCTTGCCCCATATCCTCCTGCTCTCCCCCTTTTGCTCTCTTGTGTTAAATACACATTACACTTGCTCCTGGACTGCTGCTCCCACGGGCTGAGCCTGCTCATGGTAGCTCAGGGACTGGTGTGGCCCTTCTGTGCAATACCCCACGGAAGCAGGGTGCCTGAGCCCACCTGCCAGCCTCTCCCCTGCCATCCCATTGCCTCTTCTCCAGGAGCATTGAACTGTAGGCAGGGAAGGTCAGGACTGGGCATCCCTGGGCATGCATCCTCAGGGATGCCACCCTGGATGTCTCTGGTGTGTCTCAGAAGTGCTTGTTCTGGGGATGGCAGAGATACTGTGCACTGGCACCTCCCTTCTGTGCCTGGAGCAGCACTCACAGTGGATATTCCTGGAGACAGGAGAGCATAACTGATGCTAAGATGAAGAGGAAAGAGGTAAAACTACTTCTGGAATCTCAGTGGTCTTGCAGAGAGGAAATCCCTGCATTTGGCAGTCTGTGCTTTGAGGCACCTGGGGAAAGGTATTGTGCCAGTCTTGCCAGTGCCTTCCCATTTTCCCCTCTACTCGTCTCCACTGATGAGGTTGTGGCCAAGCAATGCCATGGCTTCAGAGCAAGGTGAGGATGCTCAGGTTTAGCTGCCCACACCTTTTTGACCTTCACTGTGGTTACATTTCCTTCCCATGCCTTGGGAAAATGTCCCTAGGTACCAGTGAGAAGCTGCTTCCCTTCACCAGCATCTCCTGAGCCAAAAACCATGACCAGGCTTCTGGGAAACTGGCCCCATCCCATTCCACTATCGTGAGATCCTGTGGTCTTGGCCAGGTCTGCAGCCCCAGGAAAGGGGGATGTCCCTGCCTGGACAGCCAGGTGCCCTGCAAGGGATCTGTGTGAGATTTCCTGGGAAAAATGCATTAGTTTGGCTCCAACCCTGCACATAAACCAACTTGCGGCTGGAGATGATGAAATGGACTGTGGCTGTGGGTGCAGAGGTATGGCAGGGGGATTGCTGTCACAGGATGGGACCTGGGACTTGAAAGGCACAGGCAGCCAGGAGAGGATCCCCACTGATTCCTTTGGGACACCCTTCAATCCTGCCCTGGCACACACATGTCCCTGTCGTGGTGAGCGGTGACGAGTCCTCCTGAAGGGAGGGTGCTGTGGGGCATCAGCCCACCCAAGGGACCTGGCAATTACAGGGATCCTTTAACAGCATGGAACTGGATCATCTGCAGCCCCGGGACAGTGCCTGGCAGCCGGAGCCTGGCTCTCTTCCCAGTGGCATCCCTTGGGCTCCCTGGGCTGCACAGAGTGGCCCTAGAGCACAGCGAGTCTGCTTTGGCAAGGACACAGGCAGCCAGGATGATCTGTGCCTGGGTCTGGCTGCATCAAGATTCTGCCTTCTGGCACTGGGGTGTCCCACTCATCCATCAGCCAGCTGGGAGTGGTCTCTGACTGTCCTGCTGCCAGGAGGCAAGCCCTGAGTGAGCGCCCTGGATGCAGACATTCCTTGGAGATGGGATGTTGTAAGCCTGTTGCTGCTCCAAGATATGCCAATGCCTTTGGCTTTCAGGGGAAATTTTTGGACAGGGGCAATCTCCCACCCTCCAGTCAGTCTCGGATACATCCGACCCTTGGGTTGTTGGAAATCAAAATGCAAAGTGCTACTGGAACTGGTGATAGGAAGGGAAACACATGGATTATTGATCCTGGGCCATGTTTTTTTTGTCCTTACCTGCAGGAAGCAGCAGGGCTGAGGTGGCCACACATCCTGGATCCATGCAGAAGTTAAGCAAATGGATCTGACATGTTTCATTTGGTGACATTTTTTCAGGTTTGAAGTTTGTCCAGAGAAAGTCACATCTCAAGCAGAAAGTGCTCATTCCCTGAAATGAATATGGATTTGAAAGTTCAGTCTTTGTTTATCTCCCAAACATCTGCCCTTTCCCCTACTGTTTTCCTTCTTAAAAATTCAATCACTACACAGATCTGATTATTTTAACTTCCTAACATGTGCCTTTTGTTTCCCCTGCTGTATTTTCTGCAGTCCCCTGCTGGAAAAAAAGCTTGTTTCAGTCCACAGATCTGCTCACATTCGACAACATTTCCCCTCTGAGTGCCCCATTGCGGCGTTTATCCCAAGCATCACTGCATCTATGGATATTATTCTAGGACATGATGGCCAGTGAGCAGAACTTCAAGTCCTTAAACTGGATTTCAAAACTGAAACACACAGTGAAGCTGCAGTTCCGAATATCCCACCCTATGCCTGGAAGCCTGCAAGGGAGTCACCCAGGAAGGGTTGTTTTCCTGAGAAAATGGGAGTGCAGAGACACAGAACAAAAAATCCAAACAAACCAGATTTGTAGAAGGGTTTTGCTCTCAGGCTGTGAGTCCAAGGTGTACCTGTGGCACCAACTTATTATTCAAGAGTGGTGCAAAAAGCAGCACAGTAAAGCTTAAACTAAAACCTCATATTTTCCTGCTTGCCAAGTCACCATTTAGGAGATCATGAATGATGAACCCACAGTGTCCTGCCTTACTTCAGGAGCTGCCAGGTTGCTTCTCCCTGAAGCCCATGTCCTCTGCTGAACCTCAGAAAACCTGATTTTTCCCCCTTCCAGAATGATGTTAAAAAATAGCTGAGTTCAATCTCAGAACCTTGGAAATGCTTTGTTGCCCTGACAGACAGGAGGAGAGGAGTCACTAGGGACCATTCAGTGCGATCCATTGTGGCCAAGTGACCTCAAGAACTCAAATGACTCCCCAAACCCCACAAGGCACATTTTTGGGCTCCCCACACACATAGTACATGTGTCCCAGTACTGTCAGGGTTTATTCCAGGGCAGGAGATGTTTGCACTGTCAGTTTGGTTCTGCTGGTGTGAAATGAAAAGCCTGTTTCAAACTTTCCTTGCCTCTAGAGCTCATGATGGCTCATCACGGTCCTGCTTGGGACCACATCAGCAACTCCCTCTCTCCACTGTGAGGGTGATTCACGTTTAAGTGCAGGTTGAGATGTTTGGGATGTTTAGTAGCTAACAGGCTTCCAGCAGAGCAATCCTTGATCCCCAGTGTCACACCAGAGCCTTTAATTACTGGAATTAACCCTGTCTTGACTATGTCACTCCATCACAAGGAAGGACACCTGTGACTTTCTGGCTCACTACTACCACCCTATCCAAAGAGTGGGATGGGGGCCTCTAGAAAGTCAGCTCCCTGCACAAAATCAGTTAGTTTAGGTGTGTGTCATCTGTGGGGCTGGACTTCAGAGCCCATGATCACTTTGCTTTTAAAATCTGATCTGCCTTCCAAGCAGGATTTCAGCTGTGAGGAATAATAACCAAAAAAAAAAAAAACAAAAACAAAACAAAAAAAACCCCAAACAAACCAAAAAAAAAAAAAAAGGAAATCCTCTAAGTGCATCCAAACCCATAACAAATTGCTCATGCTGGGCTTGTGTCCACATCGCTCATGTCCTCACTCCTGCAGCCCCTCAGCTTTCCTGCCATCCATGAGACTCCTAGCATAGGATTTTAATACAAATGGATGTTCCTTACATTCAGTTTACATCGCTGGTCTCACCTCAGGTGCATCAGGGAGCTGAATTGGTTGTGCTGAGAGGAAGGTGGGGATATGTCTGCTCTAAATTCTACTGAAACACTATACTGCCTGGTGGCATAAAGACCTAAAATGTCCCTTGGCCTTAGGAAGGAAGGTAATGAATGCTTGTAGCCCAAATAATTTCAATCTTACTCAGTATTACATGGAAGCAAAACATGAGAGATGAAAGAGGGAACTGCTTAATCAGTTGGGGGAGCTTTCCAGGAGAAAACTGATGGTTGTTGGGGAGTTTAAAGATGAAGGCACACACCCACTCCCCTGGGGGCCTGGGCCTCCCTATAAAACTGTGCAGACAGTGCTTGGCCCCACCACCCTGCTCCAGCTGCTGCCACTGCCACCTCCGTCTGGGTAAGTCAAGACAGGCTCCATCTGCTTCCCTACCCCTCCCTCTTCCCTTCCAGCTGCACAAGACATCAGGGAAGGGTTTATTTCTGCCCTAAAATGAAGAGTGCAAGGGGTTGCACTCTGCAGGATGCTGGGCTTACAGGGTTGCAACTACATAATCAGTTGCATCCTGCATGATTTTCCTTGCTGAAGCAGAAAAACAAATTAGAACAGGACATGCCTGGGTTGCAGAGATCAATGTGTCCCGGTTTATGGATGGGCATCAAATGTCCCATATGTTTTGCGATGGGATGTCTCAATTCATGTTGTGTTGATTTAAGTGGGTTTTGCTTCAGCCACATGCATCTTGTGACCACCTTGCTTGTCAAAGGCTCCTCGTCAGCTCAGAGTAGGAGTGGGTCTGCTTTCTGGTCCTGTCACTGGTGCCTCCAGCTTTCCCAGACCAACCTGCAGCTCAGACAAAACTCCCCTCATTCTCCCGAGTGGTTTATGGGGCAAGGTGGGGGGAAGATTTTTTTGATGGTTCTAAACCATTCAAATTCACTCTATAGCTTGCTCTCCCATGCCTCTTAGTATGGGAGGTATTGCGTGAGGGCTCGACAGGGACAGACCGGCCTCTGCATTGCTTTTACATCCCAGCTCTGGCTTTCAGGTGCACATCCTTGCCGAACCATGTCCTGCTACGACCTGTGCCTGCCCTCCTCCTGTGGTCCCCGGCCCCTGGCCACCAGCTGCAACCAGCCCTGCTTCCGCCGCTGTGAGGACTCCACTGCCTTCATCCAGCCACCCACAGTCGTGGTGACGCTGCCCGGGCCCATCCTCAGCTCCTTCCCGCAGAACACCACGGTGGGCTCCACGGCGTCGGCAGCGGTGGGGAGCTACCTGCGCTGCTGCGGCATCCCTGTGGGCTCCCGGGGGCTGGGCAAGGCAGCACTGCTGTGCCTGGGCACCGGGCTGTAGGGTGTCCCCAGCACGCTCCTCCTCCTGCCCATGCCAGCAGCGTGCTCAGGAAAGGCGAGGAAGGTACGCCACCAAGATTGGGGGAGAGGACTAAGGAGATGCCCCTGGGTTTCCCAGCAGCTGGCCCAGGAGGACAGTAACCATGTGAGCTCGTCACTCCAGACCATGCCTCTGTACACCTTTATCTCGCTTAAGTCTTTATATTTCCATGTTCTACACAGCATTTGCTGCTGGCTGGGCAATAAATGCTTCTAGCAGGCTGTAGATGGCAGATGATAATCATGGGGTTGTGGGGCGAGGGGACACCTTGTAGGATCAGCTTGCCCCAAAGTGGGGATATTTCTTTATTGAGCACTGGAAATACACTTGTACTCTGAACTGGTTCACTCTGCTTCTCATTAAAGACTTGCTACATCATAGCCTGAGTGTTCTGTTGTTCCTTGTTCAGGAGCCTGGAGGGGTGTCCTCCTCTGGAGGCAGCTTGTTGCTGCTGGGGCAGTTTAGTTTTTACATTAAATGGGGGTTTCTGCTGCCCAGCTCTTCCCTGTGCTGACAGACGTGTGTGGTTTGCCAGGACCAGTCCCAAGGCAATTTTCTTATTCTGGAAATCTCTCCTCCTGCCCCACGGCAAGCAACTGCTCAGGGAGGAATTCCTGCAGGAGCACACTTCATTACCTGGTACCTCAAGGACCTGGGAATGTGAAGGTCTGACATTTCAAAACAGCATTTACTCTGCATTTTGCAGTGATATTTTGGGGGCCTGAGCTAAGGAGGTGGGCATGGAGTCAGGGAAAAAAGGTAGAAGTGAGATTTTTGGGAGATGGGTTTCTTTGGATGGGCCTCCTATGCCAAGCTTACACAGTGTTTAATGGGTGGCAGCAAAGAGTGAAAAAGAAGAAACAATAATTACTTTATGGATAGGGGACACTAATGTCTCTGGAAGATGTAATGAACTGAGCAATGCCTCTTTTTAAGATGCAATTGGTCATCAGGCAGAACCTTTTCAGCTGATGAAAGGAGAAATAGGAATATTTGCATAAAGTTTGTGAGTGTTTATAATGAGGGATTATGCTGAGCTTGAAAGCCTAATGGTCATTAAAAGCCTTTAACCAAGCTCAACTGGTTTTATTGCCCAGAAGACCTTTGCTGAGGTGCTAATTTGGAGAAAATTTACATGGCAATTGCTCAGAAGTCAGTGCACCAGGAGATGGAAGGTATCTTGCTTCCAAAGACTGCTCAGATATTTTTATCCCAGCTCTGGCAATTGTCTGCAGAGATAGGATGCAAAATTTTGAATTAAAAAAAAAAATCACAAAAAGCTTTGAAATTCCAGCAGAAGTTTTGTTGGGAAGCTGTAGGTCTCTGGGCCTTGTGCAGCTGCCTTCCTCAAGCCTCTGCACTGAACAGTCCAGGAGGGAGCTGGTGGACAGAACAATGACATTTTTATGTAGTTTTGCACTGAATTATTCCACTGGTGGGATTATATAGATTTTAATTTTTTTTTTTTTTCTGAAAACCCAATATCTACAAAAATCTACACAGCTCCTTGAAAATTGTGGTGTCTTACTGCAGACAGTTGGGGAAATGAGGACCTCGGTGCCTTTCAGCACTGCCTATCCTGAGGGTTGGGGGACTCTGTCTCCCATGGTAGCCATGACTCCAGCTGAGAGCTGTTGCCTCCTTGGCTCCCAGCTCAAGAGCAGTCCTGAATTCACCATATTTCCCCCCAAGCCAGCCCTTGCCCCAGGCAGAACCCCCCAGACCTGCTGATCAGGCCCTAAATACAGGTTTCTGTAGAGGCAGTGCAGACAAAGGCTACAGTGAGAAACACAGAGCTTCATAACAAGACAGGGATGAAAAATATTGCTCAGCAGGTGGAAGAGAGGGAGCACATGGAGGGAAATAGCTGGGTCCTGGGTTTTCATCCCAGCATTGCCTACCTATAGCATTCAAAAGCAGCAGAAGCGTTTTTTTAGAAGAGCTTTGGATTATGGCCCAGATGCTACCCACTGGCCATGCCTGTCGAGGTTTATGTCTCCTCCCCACTGCTCATCTTCTTTCAGCTGCTTCATGATCTTGGAGGAAACCTGCTCCCTGTGGTCATTCAGTATCCTCAGGCACCTGAAGGACGGGTACCTTCCCACCCTGGGGGTGGATGAGGTGGGAAGGAGAGGGGAAGTTGTGGTTTGAGGAGGAGCAAGCACAGAGACCTGTTGTGGAAAAGGGGAGATGGCTGAGATTGCAAGTTAGTGGGAGCATTCATAATGGAGACTTTGCCTGTGGAGGGTTGGGGATATAGGAAAGGATTATTTTCCCAGAGGGTGGTGGGGCACTGAACAGGCTCCCCAGGGAATGGGCACAGCCCCAAGGCTGCCAGAGCTCTGGGAGCATTTGGACAACCCTTTCAGACAGAGGGTGGGATGGCTGGGTGTCTGTGCAGAGCCAGGGGTTGGACTTTGATGATCCTTATGGGTCCCTTCCAATTCAGGATATTCTATGATACTATGGAAGCCCCAGGCAGCATGGTGCTGGTAGTAGGGCTGGGACTGGTCAGTTGTCCAAGTGGTGGTTGGATGATTTGTGGGTCAACACAGCACATCAGTCTACAGCTTCTCTGTACATCCAGGTGAGAAGACAAAAATTGTGGTGTATCACAAGCAGTGGGAGAGGATGAAAAGACAGATCCACCACCTGTGCCCTTTCTGGGTTGCCAAAGGTGTATTCCAGACTGGCACTGGGGCACTGGGCTGAGGGCAGTGCTGGGAGGGTGAGTTGCATCAACAGACAGCATCCCTCATCCTCCTCACTGGGGCAAGGACTTCTGGCCAGAGCACTTGGGGACATGCCTGGAACCAGCCAGGTGAGAGAGACAGGGCCCCTGGAGCTGGGACCCTGCAGGCATGGCAAGCAGAGAGATGGGACTTGTGTGGCCAGTCCCTGGATGTATCCAAGGCCAGGCTGGATGGATCTTGGAGCAACCTTCCAGATTGAGGAAGGGGAGAGAAAGTGGCTGGATGGCCAGGATAAGAGGGAGGAGAGGGCACCACTGAGGATACCTCACCCCACACACCCATGGATCAAGCACAGGGCAGGGACTCAGGGTGCCCTGCCTGCCACACCTGGGGAGCCAGACAGACACTGGCTCTGCCAAGGGCTCTGGTTCTTCCCCAGGGCTGGAGGTCCAATAAAACAGGAAAATACCAGCCTGCCCACATGTGTGAGTCAAGGGGGAAGAAGCAGGCAAATTACAAGGCACAGGCATGCTGGTCTGGCCCTCCTGGTGCTCCCTGTGGGAATGGGGCTCACAAGACTTGCATCCTGCAGCCCTGTTGGCTCCACCAGCACTGTGTCACCCTGAGCCCACATCACCAGCAGACATCGCTCCTGGCTGTCCTACACCCTCCTCTGCTCTGAGTTTTTGCTGTGGAGGGCAGCCCTCAGGGAGAGACTGGAATGAGCACAATGAAAGTCGAGCCCAGATCCCAATGGTTTTCAGGGTCCTGGGATGGTATCTAAGTTTTAAACTCAAGAATTGCTTGATTAAACATTCCAGAGCTGTTAATTCACGTTTGCTGAGAGGTGTCTGTGTACCTCCTGAAGAGGAGAAGTGTGATGTGGTTATTGCTGTGTGGGGTAGCTCCTGTCAGGTTATGTGGGGTTGAAGGAACTGGGTGTCTGTGGGAGGTTGCAAGACCTGGAAATCATGGGGTGCAGTGTTTTCCTTTCCTGCTTCCCTACACCCCTCTGTGATATGAAAGGCTGTGGCTGAATTAGCCTCCCAGTTCCCCTCAGTCGGCTCAGGGAGATTGGATGGGGGGAGTCTCTGCACTGGCACAGCCATGTGTTACAATTGGCATTGGAGGCTCGCTGCTGTCTGCAAATCATCTCTTTGCACTGTTCTTCCTGTGGGAAGGGTGATCCCCGGCAGCTGGGGCTCCTGCAGCAGCTCATCTTCCCACCCAGCACAGCTACAGGCAGTCGAACCCTCAGGAACTATGTTCTGGAAAATTCCCCATGTCCTGCCCTGGAACTGTGTCCCTATGGCACCCCATAGGAACACCAGTGCCCTGCTGACCCCCATGGGAGCTGGTAAAAAAGAGCAGACAGTTACCCAGCACTCACAGCTCTTGTCCATCAGGAGCCACACCAAAGCCACACTGGGATCTTTGGGGCTGTGACAAGGATTGGAATAGGACTGGTCCCACATCCTGTCTTGGCAAATTCCTGCAGGCAGCATGGAGCTTCAAGGGTTGGCAGCAAAGGGCTACTGGAGCAGGGGATGTCACTCAGCAGAAGAGTGTTGCATGCAAGAAGCCCTGGGATCAACCCTCAGCATCTCCACATCCTTTTGCCTCCCTGGACTCCTCCCTGCTGGATGCAGGGCTGCCAGAGTCCCCTCACAAGGCCCTGGGATTGGCCTGAAAATTCCTCCTCAAGGCTGTGGGTTAGCTGGGCAAAAGCACAGCCTCAGCCGTACCCCGAAATCCAAACTGTAGGGCTGGGGAGGCAAAAGGGGTGCAGCACTCCAGATTGTTGGTGCAGGGATGTCTTGCACATTTGCAAGAGATCCTGAGTTCAACTCCTGGAAAACCTTCCTTTGGATACAACCCCTTGTCCTGGTTTAGGGCAAATTTGGGAGAAAACCTCCAAAAAAGGCCCCCTCCAGAAAGCAAACCCACACGGACCCTCCCACCAATTAGTTTGGGAAGAATTTCCTGGGAGAGAAGTGGAAAAAACCTGTTTATTTAGCAGGCAAAGCACTCCCCAGCACAAAAAGTGAACAATACCAGATGACAAAACCCATTTGCTGCTCTGAAGAGATTGCAGACTCAGAAAATCTCTCCAGCAGATGGTGACTCTGTTATCGCTCCCTCCAGCACTGGGAAAGGCTGCTGCCCTGAGCAGGCCCTGGTAGGCCACAAAGTGCGAGCTCTTGGTGTTTCCCCAGGTCCCTGTCTGGAGCAGGTTTGAATGGACCCAAGAAAAGGGAAAGAAAATCAGTCTGGGGAAAACTTGGACTGCCTCAGCTAGCTAAACTAAAACACAAAGGAGGGCCCCGTTCTGCCCCATCCGTGTCCAGAGAGCACAGCGGAGTTCTGTGTTCCAGCAGAATGTGGAGGAGTGAGTGCAGTCCCTGATAACAAACTCTGTGCTTCTTCTTCTCCCTGCCTGCACTCTCTGAGCCCGTCTTGAAGGCACAGAATATAATAGCCAGCATAAACAGAACACACGACTGGGGATACACATCATAACATTACCCTAGGACATCCCTCCTTTTTAGGGGAAACCCCTCCTTTGGATAAAGCCTCGGCTGTGGAGACACCCCTTCAGGAGGACAGTAGGGGATGTAGCTCAGTGGGAGAGCGCTTGCTTCGCATGTAAGAGGCCCTGGGTTCAATCCCCAGCATCTCCACTTGTTTTGTGGGTTTTTTTGGTTTTTTTTTTTCCCTCCACTTCCACCACGCGGCGGCGATGATAAGCTCCTTTTACATCCCTGGGGCGATTCCGTGCACCATGGCTGTGCCGCCCACTGACGGCAGCAATGCAGCAGCCCGGGCTCTGCCGTCCCCCACGGCCCCGGCAGCCCCTTCCCCACTCGGGAGAGGAGAGTCCCGGCGACAGCGGCGGCGTCCCACGCGTGCCTGGAATCTAGCGACGAGTGCCCAAAAAGGAGGGCTCGTCCGGGATTTGAACCCGGGACCTCTCGCACCCTAAGCGAGAATCATACCCCTAGACCAACGAGCCGGTGCCAGTAGTTGTTTTTAGGGTTTTTTTGTTTTGTTTTGTTTTTATTGTTGTTGTTGTTGTTTTGTTTATTTGTTTGTTGTTGTTTTTGTTCTTTTTTTGCCCCCCCCCGCACTTTCCCTACAGCTTGGGACACCCCAGACATTTCCCCACTGTTACGGTGAGCTCAGGGACACCCTGTGCCCCCCTTCCCCCGGGCCTCTGTGGCTCTGATCATGATAACCCCTGGATCCTCCATCCTGCCTCAACGGGGTTGGTGGGGAGCCAGGAGAGCCCACCCTGTCCAAAACCTATATAGACCCCTGAAACTTCCTGCTCTTTCTCTTTTGCCCCGCTCTCCATGGACACCACAGAATAAAGAGAGCTGTTCCAACTTCCCTGGGGTAAGAGCCTCTTTTGAATACTTTTCCCTCTCCTGCTTATCCTCCCCTCACAGCCCCATATCTCTGAGCTGGTCGGATTCTATTCGGGGGGCTGCGCGGAGGGGGGGAAAACTACAGAAATTACACCCCACTTCCCAGCAAAATGCAGTACGGTGCAACCTGCAGCCACCGTGCCCCTGCACCATGGGCCCCGGGGTTGTGATGGCCGAGGGGTGAAGGTGTTGGACTCAAAATCCGATAGGGATTCCCTGCGCAGCTTTCAATCCTGCTCACAGCGATGGATTTTACCCAACACCTGGGAACCCATGCTGCAAGTGTTGGGGTGCCCTCGCTGGGGTTCCCGGTAGAAGCTGATACAAGAAGGTCATTGGCATCCAGCGCAGCCCCAGGCAGGGGTTGTGATGCCCCCAGGGCAGTTTCACACCCGGGATTCTCCAGGTTTGGAAGACCTGGGAGAGGTGAGGCAAAAGACACTGAGGGGAGCAGCACAGGGGGAGGTGGAACCGTTTCCAGTCTTGCTGAGTTGGTGCCCCCTCACCACCCTGTCCCAAATCTCTGGCAGAGCAGTTCACCCCACCTCGCTGGTCCAACTCCCAGAAGAGTTTTTGGGCACCACTAGCCCTCCTTCCCAGCTGCTCCTCCCAGCACCGATGTACACTCCTAGAGGCACCCTGAGACTGGTGGGGAAGGAAAACAAAGTGATCCAGTGCCCTGCAGCCTCTGGGCAGGGTAGGGAAAGAGCCATGGACATTTCTGCAGAGGCTTGAGGTGCCAGGAGGCAGCACCAGGCCTTTCCTAGGGAGCTCTGGGAGCCCTGCATCCAGCAAAGAGTTCTGGGAGGCAAAAGGACATGGAGATACTGGGGGTGGATTTCAGGTCCTCTTGCATGGAAAACAAGCACTCTTCCACTGAGCTACACCCTCTGTGCAAGAGCAGGGAGGGGGCCCTGGGATGCCCATGCTGGGGTGGGGAAACCTTGGTTCACGGTCCCTTCCTGGATTCACCATCTTGGGCTGCTTTAGGGATCCAGACGTCAGAGACTTTGCCATGGGAAAGCTGCAGTTGCACCAGGGAGGAAACCATGTGGTGACTGGATGGGAGTGGAGTGTGCAAGGAGACATGTGGGGCCCTCATTGGAACACCTGGAGCTGCCCAATGAAGCATCTGAGGCTCTGTTCAGCCTTTCACACTCTGTGAGCAGGGAGGTGCTCCCAGAGTATGAGATGCCAGATCCAGCACGTCTCACTTACAGCCCCTCTTTTCTCCGTAAATGGCCCTAACCGGCCCTTGCAGCAGTTGCAATGGTCGGTGCTTTTTCTGCCACCTTTTGCTGTGGGGCATCCTGCAAAGGCGACCTCCTGTGAGCAGTGTTTGTCCTCAGTAGCAGCAAATGGCCGTGTCTGTGTGCCAGGGGCTGTCCATGCGTGGGGTCCTGCGGTGCTGGGGGCAGGGGATAAGGGGGGAGAGCAGTGAGCAATGTGGGAAGTGTGAGTTGGTGCCGTGTGTGAGGTGTGCAAGAGCTGTAAAGGGCTGTATGGCTGCGTGTGCGTCGGGTCCCTGTGCAGGCAGGGCCCCGTGTGGCAGCGTGTGCGTGGAGTGGCATTTTGCCTGGCAGCGAGGAGGTGTCCAGGATGTCCTGGGCACCCTGGCTCGTTGGTCTAGGGGTATGATTCTTGCTTAGGGTGTAAGAGGCCTGGTTCAAATCCCGGATGAGCCTTTTGTTTTGGACACCCAGCATCCCCCTGCCACCTGGCTGGTCCCCCCAGCACTGGTGATCACCCCAAGAGACACCGTGAGCACCATGGGGAAGGGACTCTGGGTGCCTCCACACTATTCAGCACCTAGGTAAGGAGGGAGATCTCGGCAGGCATTTGCTTGCTGCCTGCCTTGGGGTGCCAAGGGGCAATGCCAGGTCAGACGTGCCCACAGGCAGCCCCAGGGATTTCTTGTGGGGCATCTGGGGAGTCTCTGGCAGCCCTGAATCCATCAGGGAGGTGTCTGGAGAGGCAAAAGGACATGGAGATGCTGGGAGTTGATCCCAGGGCCTCTTGCATGCAAAGCAAGCGCTCTCCCGCTGAGCTACACCCCCCTGGCACAAGGTGTGCCCTGGTGTTCTTCTCCATCTGAGAAAATGCCGCGTCTGCTGCCTTCCCCTGCTGCCCAAGCTGGGAAAAGGGGGCTCAGGGCTTTGCAGGCACTGCGGGTCCCTTGGGTGCCATTGGGGCGGTGAGGAGGTTGGAGCACGGGGCAGAAGTGTGGGGCAGAGCAGGGAGGTGATGCTGCAGGCCCGAGGCCATGTAAGGAGCAGAGTGCAGGGGGCAGGACTGCGTGGTCCGGCTGGAGGTGGGGAGTGGGAGTGGGAATGTGAGGGCATGTTTGCAGCGTGTAGAGTTGTGGGCATGGTGTGGAAAAAGAAGGGCTCGTCCGGGATTTGAACCCGGGACCTCTCGCACCCTAAGCGAGAATCATACCCCTAGACCAACGAGCCGGAGTGTACAGTGTGTCCTGCACCCCCCCTGTGGGTCGGGACATCCCAGACACTTCCACACTTCCCGGCAAAACAGAGCACGGTGCAGCCTGTGGGCACCGTGCCCCCCGTGCCATGAGGCACCGGTGGTGTGATGGCCAAAGGGTGAAGGCCTTGGACTCAAAATCCGATAGGGATCCCCTGTGCAGATTTGAATCCTGCTCACAGCGATGGGCTTTACCCGGTATCTATGGTGGAAGTCCTGCCTGGAGCTGTCCCTCCACTAGGAATAGTGGTCATGTTGCAGTGACTTATCTGCATGTGGTAACCACAGCCTCTTGCTGACTGCAGCAGATTTTTTTCCTTAATATTTTAATTGGTGCTGGTGATTGCTGCCAATTGCCCCACAGAGCCCTTGTGCCTGGAGCTCCAAGCCAGCGGGGCCAGTATGATGGTGTTTATCCAAGCTCTTTTCTGTCCCCTGGCCACACATCGATTCAGTTAATGAGAAACTCTGGCTTGAGAAAGAGGCAACGTGCTGGCTTCTGAGAGGCTTTCACTCTGCAGTGAGACGTGAAAGGGCAGGAAACCCCCAGGGTGTGAAGAGCTGAGCCAGGGGCTGAGGGCTGCAAGCACACCGTGGGACCATGGCCAAGCTGGTGGAATGCGTCCCCAACTTCTCAGAGGGGAATAACAAAGAGGTGAGGGAGTATGTGGAAGGGCTGAGGGGTGGGTGACACCAGGCTGCTGACAGCCAGGTTTCCTTCTGCAGAGTGGTACGCACTGCTAGACTCTGCCATGCCTCTTTTGCAGTGCTGTGCACCTTTCACTACTTGGCTAGTGCCAAAAATTTTCCCTTTACGGCACCTCAATGAGAAGTAAGGGCTGAGACCTCTCCCACCATTGCCAGCGGGCTGCTGTAGCACCAGGTCTGGGCTTAGTCTGGGATACCCCAGACCCCAAATAAATATTCCTTGCAGTTGTTGTGCCAAAACACGGTGCCAAGGTTAATGGAGCCTGTCCTGGGCATCAGCCTTCAACTGAACTTTGGCTCTGCCAGTAGCAGGAGAATTTAGCAAACCCAGCATGGCTGCAAAAACACAGCCTTCTCCAGTGAAGAGGCTTAGCAGAGGTAAATGCATTGGGAAGCTAGCACGTGGACGTATCCTCAGGAACAGCAATTTGTGGTGGTGTTCTGTGACATGCAGAAGCAGCCAAGTGTCTCTCCCCCACCATAGCGAGTTTGGGGAGCCAGGGGTGCCCCAAACCCCCTTGGTGGGAGTGGGATGCTTGTGCAGGGCTGTATCCCCACTGATCACGGGATCATTCTCAACCCAATCACAAGTGGGAAGGGGGAGAGCTGAAATGCCCCTCTCTTGAAATGCCATGGCTGTTGTATAGTCCCAGCCATCTCAGCCCCCTCGCTCCCATCTGCTGTCTGGCAGGTGATCGATGCAGTGGCACAGGCCATCTCCCGGACACTGGGATGTGTGCTCCTGGACGTGGATGCCGGCAGCTCCACCAACCGCACCGTCTACACCTTTGTGGGGTCCCCTGAGGCCGTGGTGGAAGGGGCATTGAGTGCAGCCCGTGTGGCTGGGCAGCTCATCGATATGAGGCAACACTCAGGTGAGCCTGGAGAGGTCCTGGGGCTGGGCTGGCACAGAGGGGACTGACGTACTGCTGGAACCACGCATGGCACTGGAACAGGGACTGTGGTCACAGGGCCAGGCCCAAAAGAGTTTAAGAAGTGTTTGCAATGCTCTCAGGCACATGATGTGGTTGTTATGGCTGCCCTGTGCAGGGCCAGGGGTTGGACTCAATGATCCTGGTGGGTCTCTTCCAACTTGGGTTAGTCTGTGATTCTATGATTTTCTCACAGCAATGGCATCCAGTCTGTAAGAGTGTGCAAACATGTGTTCTCCCTCCTTGTCTGCTTGTTCTTCCCCCCTCCCATTCCTATATCTGCCCCGCCACCAGGTGAGCACCCTCGGATGGGGGCCTTGGATGTCTGCCCCTTTGTGCCAGTGAGGAATGTCAGCATGGAGGAGTGTGTCACTTGTGCCCACATTTTTGGGCAGCGCTTGGCAGCAGAACTGGGTGTACCTGGTGAGTGGGGTCAGGAACCTCTCCACATTCCATCCCATCCTGCATGATTCCAGCTGTTGCAGAAAGTGCTAGTCCCTGCCTGGTGGTGCTCACCCCCAGCTGTGTCTTGCAGTTTACCTGTATGGAGCGGCAGCACGGCACGAGAGCAGGAAAGCTCTGCCCTCCATCCGTGCCGGGGAGTATGAGGCGCTCCCTGAGAAGGTGAGCCTGGTGGTGGCACAGACTGGGCAGACCTGACCTGTACTTCCCTGGCTTCAGGGAGCATGCTGGGGGCTGGGGTAGGCCCTTTGCACCAAGAGGAGCTGGTGACACAGGTGGTCATGGCAGATTCAAGCTGGGGAGAGAGATGCCCTCCTTGGGAGGGTGGCATGTGCTCCTGGGCGGTCACAGCCCACACACTCTCTTCCCTCCTCCCCAGCTTGCAAAACCAGAGTGGGCTCCTGATTTTGGGCCCCCAACTTTTGTCCCCCGATGGGGAGCCACAGTGACGGGTGCCCGGACCTTCCTTATTGCATACAACATCAACCTGCTGTGCACCAAGGAGCTGGCCCACCGCATTGCCCTCAACATCCGTGAGCAGGGCCGTGGCCCCAGCCAGGTACCTCAAGAGCACGGGCACACCAGGAGCACGCCTGCCTGTCCCCACACCTCCTGGGCTGTGCCCTGAATGTGGCAGTTGTTGGCAGCCCGGGCGCTTGAAGAAGGTGCAGGGCATCGGCTGGTATTTGGAGGAGGAGAACATGGCCCAGGTTTCGACAAACCTGCTGGACTTTGAGACCACACCGCTCCACACCATCTACGAGGAGGTCTGCCGAGATGCACAGGTGGGTGGCCTGGGGTGCTTGTTCCCAAGGGGGCTTCCCAGACGATGTCTCCCACCAAGTTTTCTTCCCCACTGTCAGGTCAGGCTCTGGTTTCTCTCATGCTTAGCTCAGCCAAAGTGCTAAATGTCACAAAACCCCCAGAAACTCAGCAACTTGCTGCGAGCCCCCAGCTCCTGTTGAAAACTTTTCTGTGAGCTTCCCACGTCCTGGGAAGGGATGAGGACCACCAGGCTGAGGTAGTAGTGGCAGCAGGGCTCTGGGGAAAATCACATTTCTGATGTCCTTTGCAGGAACTGAATCTCCCTGTGGTGGGGTCTCAGCTGGTAGGGCTTGTTCCCAAGAAGGCCATGCTGGATGCAGCTGACTTTTACATCAAGAAGGAAAAACTCTTCATCTTGGAGGAGGAACAAAAGATCAGGCTGGTAATGTGGCTTCTCCTGATACCAGCACAAGGGTGGGATCATGGGAGACACACATCCTACCCCCTCACCAGCCTCCCAAAGTGGCACTGAGCACAGATTTGGGGCTGCTCAGGCCTCAGGCATGACACTTGTCTCCAATGTGTATTTTGCGGGAGGACAGCAAGTGGGACAAGTTGCTGTATTGTGCTGAGGATGCCGAAATGCAAAGGGAGCAGGAAACACAACGCATGTGGGCTGAGTGTGGGTAGCAGCTGCTTGTCTGGCCTGCATGGAGGCCAGGAGGGGAGGAGGTGTACCCAGAGCTCAAGGACAGTGTGTGGCATTATGGGAGGCTGTCCCAGGATGGGCAATAAGCTGGAAAGGAGGAGACAGGCTCTGCTGTTCCACTGCAGGAGGGAGGGACTTTTCCAGCCTGTGGGGAACGTGCTAGATAAGAGCAAGCTAATGATTTATCAGTACAGCTCCCGGACATTCAGAGGTGACCGCACATCACCCCCTAGTCTGCGATGGGATGGGCTGGTGGTGCCAGCTGTCCTCTCCCTGGGTGGTGGCCTGGTCCCAGCGCTGACTCACACATTGTTAATTAGCAGTGGAGAATGAGGATGCAGCAGAACTTACGTGACGGGGCTGACACAGTGGTGCTGCTCCTTGCAGGTGGTCAGTCGTCTGGGCCTGGACTCACTGTCTCCATTTCACCCCCGGGAGCGCATCATCGAGTAGGGATCCACATCCTACTTCTTGTCATGGTGCCCACCTCCCTGGATGGGGGGGATCCTGATGCCTGCATCCTGCACTCAGCTTGTTTTGGGAGTGGTGGCTGCTCCCAGCTCCTCTTCACCTCCTGGGGACATCTCTGCTGGGTGCTGTGCAAGAGCAGGGTGGTCCCTGCTCCCAAATGCTGATAGTTGTGAACATGGAGTGGGTGAAGTCTGGGTGTCTTCAGCAGGCAGTAGAAGCAGGTTTTGTGGCCAGATTTGAATGTTAAATTCCTTACCCTATCCCCATGCAAAACTTCACTGCCTCTGGTTCACATGCTGCAGCACCTGGTGTGAAACATAAGTCTGTGGGGGGAAAGGAAGGGAAATCTATCCATGAGGTGAAGTCCTTGTCACCCTTCCTGGGCCATGGCTGCAGGGGCATTTCTGTCCCACCAAATGCTGCTTGTATCAGCCCAACCTGGCTAATGCAGAGCAACGCCCATACCACCTGTGTTCACCAGATGTCCCCAAGGGCCCAGTACTTACCCTGACGCTCAGGCTGAGATTTTGTCTTAGTCCCCTGCTCATTCAGAGGGTTGATGCTGGAGAGGGCAGTGCTGGGTGAGAAGGTCTGTGTGGTGGTGATGTCCCTGCACCTGGAGGGCTCTAAAACACCTGTCCTGCAGGTACTTGGTGGAGGCAGGAGAGGTAGACGGGGGGCTGGTGGCCAAGCCACTGGGTGCCTTTGTGCGAGCGGTCGGAGCGAGGTCAGCAGCGCCGGGAGGAGGCTCCGTGTCTGCAGCTGTGGGAGCCCTGGTACGTGCCCCACACCAAGACAGAGGCCTGGGAGTCCTGGGTGCGCCAAGGGGAGCTGGCATGGTGGTTGCAGTGGGCACTGTGTCCTACTGGAGTATTTACCCTGGCAGGGAGCAGCGCTGGGCAGCATGGTGGGGCTGATGAGCTACGGGAAGCGGCAGTTTGAGGACCTGGACCCCATCATGAGGAAGCTGATCCCCCCTTTCCACCAGGCCATGGAGGAGCTGGTGGCAATGGTGGATGCCGACTCCCAGGCCTTCAGCAGCTACATGGTGAGGTCCCACCAGAGGCATCCTGAAGGGAAACAGGAGGGCTTTCCAGCTGGGAGGAGGGCTGGGATCACTGCCCTCTGGATTCCTTAGGAACAGGACTCTGACCTTAGAATCACAGAATCATTGAGGTTGGAAAAGACCTCCAAGATTATCAAGTCTGACCTTCTACTGAGTACACCCATGCCCCCTAAACTATATGGCAAAGTGCCATGTCTGCTTGGTTTTTGAACACTTCCAGGGCCTGGGGAAGGGACATCGTCACATAAGGGAGGTTTGGAAGAGCATGGGAGCTATGGGATCTGTCCCAACCCCCGATTCAAGGCACGGTCTGGGTGATGGCAGCAAACATGCTTTTCTTTGCCCACAGGAAGCCATGAAGCTGCCCAAGAACACCCCTGAGGAACAGGAGAGGTGAGCTGGGCTGGTGGGGACTGGCTGACTGTGGGGGCACAGCCACCTATCATTCAACCCAGGGCTGTCCACCCCCACCCCCAGGCGCGCAGCTGCCATGCAGCAGGGGCTGAAGACAGCCATAGGGGTGCCCTATGGCCTGGCAGAGAAGGTGAGCGGACTCTGGCCTGCTCTGAAGGAGCTGGCACGACACTGCAACCTTGCCTGCAAATCTGACATCCAGGTATGGCCCCAGCTCACACACACTTGTCCTGCAAGGTGTTCCCTCATGTCCTAACCTCCAAGATACCTCTCTCCAGATGTGCTTCCTAAACTGGCCAGTGGCTTCCACCACTGGAATTCTTTGATAGCCACTTCCTGAGACTACCAACAGATTGGAAAGCACTGCATGCTGCTGGGTGGTTCAGGGTGGGAGTGCTGCAGCATTAGGGTTTGACCTGCTTCAGCACTGTATGGTGGAGCTGGTTCACCAGGAGAGCTTCTTGCAAGCCTGACTTTTCCCAGGTGGGAGCCAAAATGTTAGAAGCAGCAGTGTTCGGAGCTTACTTCAACGTCATGATCAACCTCAAGGACCTCACAGATGAGAAGTTCAAGCTTGTGGTGAGCTGGGCTGTGTGGGCACCCCCTGCACGGGCGCACCCTGAGGGGTGGTGGAGATGGCGGTGGCGCCCTGGAACCCCTCGTGCCCCTTTGCCGCCGGCAGGACGCATAGGGTGGTGCATGGTGGGTGGCTCTTCTGGCCTGTCGAGTGGCAAATTACTCATCTTGTCCCCACACAGATGTCACAGAAGGTGTCCAGGCTGCTGGAAGAGGCAAAGCAAGGCTCGGCGGTTGTGCTGGAACTGCTGGACAAGCGGGTGGCCTGAGAACAGCTTGGGAGTGCTCTGGGGGTTCTGCCAGTGGCAAATACATCTGGGAAATACTCTCGTCCCTGCCTAGTCTCTGTTGGTATCTGCATCTGGAGAGCTGGTCTGCTCAAGCACATCCAGCATCATATCCCCTGGCCTTTCCATGGACAAGGGGGATTATTGCTGTTTGGCTCCATCCTCTGATCCCTGGGGTGATTGAGTAGACAACTGGCTTGGCAGTGCCTGGGACCACAGTGATCCTCACAGAAGGGATGGCAGGATCCCTTTAGCACTGTCTACAAGGAGTTCCTGGTGCATGAGCATCTCCTGACCCTGCACAGTCCCTGTGTCCAGAAACCCCCATGAAACACCCTCCTACCCGAGATCTGGGGCAAGACCTGGCACAGTCTCTTGCTGACAGGTGTCTTTCAGGCTGTGTGTGACCATTCCAACCTGTTGAATTGCCTAGGAAGGGAGCACGGCCAAACATGAGGCACCATCAGAGGTGTTAACAGGGAGATGGGGTTGGTTGAGATGGGAGAAATCCTACCCCTTCTTTATAGATCTTCTAAGAGGAAAACCTGAAAATCAGGGGACCCAGCCCTGCCTCCTGAGCCTGTTGATCGTGTGTGTCAGCAGATACTGTGTCCTCCACCCGCACACTGCGGCAGCACCCTGAGCAGTGTCAGGCCCCCACACGGCACTGTCCCACAGCCCCGTCTGTGGGAAGGTCACCCCTGTTCCTAGACACTGTACCTGAGCAGAGAGCACCGAGTCAGGGTTCATGGTGGGGTCAGCTGACTCACTCCATCCCTCCCTTGACATCAGGAGCTGGAATTACCGCCCTCCATAGCCTGTGTTTATTATCCCCATTGTGGGACCTTTGTGCCGGCTGGGAGCGGAGTGTTGACGTTTCTTGCGTGCCCATGGTGACAGCGTGGTGTCACCTCTCCGGTGTCACCCCTGCCTGCCACACCCCTGCTCAAAGGGGCAGGGCCCCGCTATTTAACGGATGCCCTACAGCCGGGAGAGCCAAGGACAGGGATCCCGACTGCTGCTGGTGTTGCTTCTTCTGGGAACTTTTCCACAGGTCTGGTGAGTGCAGGGCAGCACGCAGACAGCGGGAGCGTGGGCACCTGTGGGCCAGGGTGCACTGTCCCATGGTGGGCACTACACCCAGGCATGTGTCCCCAGTCTCTTGTGACCCACAAGGACATGAGCTCGGTACCCAGGCTGGGCCATTGTGGATTTATTTCTATTAACAATGGAAAACACATGCCTGGGCTTTGGGGGTGCATGGAGCGGGGTGGGGGACAGTTGCTCTGGAGGTTGGCGGTGTCACCAAAGGAACAGGATGGCATTTGGGGTCTGGGGGGGGATGGCATTCTGAGGGAAGTGGGCATGGTCCCTGTGCTGGGGGCAGGCGTGGGACAGAGGAGACAGGTCCCAGATGCTGGCAGAGCGGTGTCCCATGGCAGGAGGTGACTGATGGTGCCTGTCCTTCCCTTTCAGCTTGGAGACCACTGAGGATGTGTGACCCCAACCAAGGTGAGGGGCTGTGGGGCCAGGCAGGGCTGCAGGTACCACACACCCATCAGGGCTTAGAGGGGAGCTCTATGCCATGGCCACATGCACCTGGGAGGTTTACCTGAATCCCAAAGGGGTGTGGAGTGTCCTTTGTGAGGAAGAGGTAGCCCAGGGTGGGCCCTTTGGGTGGAAGAGTACACCAGCTCCCTGCACTGTCTGTCTGGGGAGAGCCTGTCTCTGCTCATTAACAGGCTCCTCTTCTTCCTAGGCCCACCACAACCGTACCCTGCAGTATGCCCTCCTGCCCCTCCAGGATACCCTGGTCCTGGCATGGGTGGTGGCATTGCAGTTTGCCCTGCTGCTCCTCCAGGACACCCCGGTCCTGGCACAGGTCCCTGCTCTGGCAGTGTGCCAGTCTGCTCCCCACACCCTGCTCCGCCTGGCCAGCACCCCCACGGGCACCCCCTGTTGGGGCATCACCCCCACGGGCACCCCCCATTGGGGCATCATCCCCACGGGCACCAGGAGCACCATAAGCACCACCATAAGAAGCACCATGAGAAGCACCATAAGAAGAAGCACTGCAAGCACCATGAAGGCAAGGTAAGAGTGGGACAGCAGTGAACCCTTCCCTATTTCTGCTGAGGACCTCCTCCAGCATACCACAGCATCGGGCCTAAGCAGCTGGGACTCTCTTCTCCTACCCTGTAGTGGCTGGAGCAAACTGCCCAAACATCAGTGGCTCTTTTTAGATGTGGAAACTCCTTGGAATAATAAATAGGCAAGAATGAGTCATATTAAGTGAGTAAGTTGGAAAGCAATCCATGAAGTTCCTTGAAGCCATTTAAAGTGGTAGCATGGCTTGGGGCACGGCTTGCAGTGTTTTAAATCCCAGGACTTTGTCCAACTCACTTGAGTGCAAGTCGTGCCCCCATAATGGACATTCACTCAGTGTCTTGTAGCAGAGGAACTATTTGGCTCCTCCTTAAAAAACAAAAACCAAAAAAAAAAACCTCAAAAAAAAAAACAAACCCAAAAAAACCCCAAAGCAAAACAAAACAGAAAAGGAGAAGCAATTCCTGTGCTTAGAGTAGATTCTGCAGAAAATACCATTCGAGGGATGGGCACCATCCTGAGCAGGTCTGAATGAGGGACTGCTAAACAAGGCCAACACTGGAGGTGGAAGCGTTTCTCAAACAAATCCTAACAGCAGCTCCTCTCACTGGGAAACAGCTCTGGAAGTGACCTGTTGTGATGCTAGTCCTTGCTGGCAGAGAGCAAGACCTTTCTGAAATTTCCTTTATTGACCTTAAGAGTCGTGTAAAAAAAAATAATAAAAAACCTCCAGCCCTCCCACAGCATGGGGCAGCCACCACAGGGTCACTAACCCATCTCAGGAATGCTGTGACATAGGCTCTATGCTGTCCTAAAGTTGTTTTCCTTCCCCAGCACTCTGGTGGTTCGTGCAGCTCAAGCAGCTCAAGCAGCTCAAGCAGCAGCTCTGACTCTGACTAAAGGTCTGGCATGTCCCACCTGCTCCGTGGTGATCAGCAAAACACGAGGCCAAACTCCTCTTGGGAACGCCCTGCATGTCACTCCCCTCCCTACCCCTTTCCCTTGGAGCAATGTTTTGCCTGCTGATTTTTCTTGTGTGTAAGAGCTTGTAAATCCTTTGACCTGGATTCTCCAAGTAAATGGACAACATTTCCACCCTCTATCTTTTGGGAGAGCCTGCTGGAAGTCATCACATGCTGTTTTCCAATCTGCTCGTGTCCGTGTGTTTTTTCCTGTGCAATGATGCTGGCTGCTGACATGGATCCCATAAAACTCCTTACATTTTGTGTGAGCTTTCCCAGGTGTAGCAGAGGGAGTGGCTGGGGGATGCTGTAATTATGTGGGCTGCCATGCTACATGCCAGGTTAATAATTTATAGGAAAAAGCTCACCATGGCAGAGGGATTCTCCTATAAACAGATGAGGAGCATGAACAGCTGGAAGTGTTCAAGACCAGTGCTTGGAGCAATCTGCTCATTGCAGGAGGAGTGGAATGACATGATCTTTCAGTTCCTTCCCAACCCAAACCATTCTGTGATTCCATGATTATCTGGATTTACCAACTTGAAACCAGAAGAATCAGCTGCTCACTAAAAACAATTTTTAAAATCCCCACTGTTTCAGCCTGAATTGCTGCAAGTGAAGTCCATGGTAAGGAAGCAAAAAGGGCCTTTGCATAATATCCACTGATGTTTAATTCAGCTGCACAGTGAGATGTTCAGAGTCCAAGGCACACGCATCAGGAGACTCCACGTTTCTCTGCTGAGGGGCCCCAGGGGCAAACCTGGTCTCGGGGCAGTACAAAGATGAGGGCCAATCTGGGAATAGGGAGGGAGGGGCTCAGGGACATAGGAACAGCGGAAGGAGCCAATGGAGTCTTAACAGCTTTTTGAAGGAAACATCTTGTGTCTCCCTAACCCAGGGGATGCCCCCCAGGCTCTCCAAACCCCACAACTACAGAAAAAAGAGGCTTTTTCAGGATAGGTTGGAAAAGGTTTGTTTATTTTTGCAGACAGCACAATTTGAGTTCAAATCTGGGAATTGCTGAGTAGATATTGGTGGGAGGAAGGTACCATGGATGCTTTGAGTTTACTGGGATGACTGGAAGGCAGCTCTGGTGGCTGTCCAGTATTTTGTTGATGCTGGGAGTCATGCTGCCCCTCTCAGCTGAAATTCTGTGTGCAGTAATAGATTACCAGGTTCTGATGAAGGGCAGAATAACAGAAGGAATCAAGGCAGGTATGGCCCACAGGAAAATAAAGATCTTAGAGATGATTTGCAAAATTTAAGATAGATAAACCCGCCCCCCAAAAGGGGCAACTGTGGAAGGCAGCAAAACCTCTCACACCATCCTGCTGTTCCCAGAAAGGCGGAGCAAGAGGCACTGAGAGATATTGAAAGTTTGAGTTATTAATTGGTCCTGCTACGGTGGAAAGGTTTCTTGCATCTCTGATAAGCCCTCCTAGGATTACAGTACGTACACAAGCCATGGCTTAGTGCGTGCAGAGCTTTACAGAAGTACTTCATATGGCTCTGTATCCTGCTTTGATCTGGGGTTTAATTAGCACCATAAATGTAAGATACATGACTCTTCATCATGAAAATCAATAAAGAGCTCTGGATTTTGGTTAGAAAGAAGGACCTAGAGGGCAAGTCTTCAGGGCTAGCAACCATACAGAGGGAAGAAAATACAACAGGTAATATCAGGTGTGTGTATATGAGTGAGAGAAGGATTGTGCTTGTGCACTTCTTTTAACAAATCCACCGAATGAACCTGTCGAAGAAGCTGGGCTGGGAGAGGCTGCCATAGTCCTTCTCCCGGAAGATGGCGGCCCGGTCCCCCAGGCCAAGCTTCAGCAGGACATCCATGTCCACATCGCTCCCCAGAGCCACCACCGTGGGCATGACATCTTGCTTCTTCATGGAGTTGATGGCCTCCTCCAGGTTCTTGCTTCCTGTGATGCCGTCAGTGATGAAGACGAAGGAGAGCTCAGCATTGCGCCGGGCAAGTCGCTGCCCGTTGCCTGGGCTGAGCACAATGTTGTTGATGGCATGGATGATGGCTGACCCGATGTTGGAGGACGAGTCCAGGTACTTGATCTGTGCCAGCGCGTCGGAGATCTCGGTGAGGTTGTGGGTCAGCGGGAAGACCACGTCCTGGTCCCGCTCACTGCCGTACTGCAGCAGCGCGATCCGGGCGTTCATGTGGTCGCTGCTGCTCCGGGCCAGCATCAGCTGCTGGGCCACATCCTCCACGAAGCGGTGGGCACTCTGGAAGTTCTGCTCTCCAATCCTTTCCGAGCCGTCCAGCAAGAACACGATGTCAACAGGGCGCTGGGTGCACTGGGCTACAGCAAGCTCTGCAGGGGGAAGAAGAAGACAGGAGCTGGGGGGATAGAAGACTACAGGATAATTTGGGCTGGAGTTGCCTCTGTGCATCCTTGTCCAAAGAAGAACCAGCCCAACGCCACTGCCAAAGCCTGTCTTTACAGCTTGAAATGTAGCTTGGAGCTACAAATGGAGCTTTGCTTCTGATGCTCTCAGCTACTGGGCTTTTAATGAATGTTAATTCTGGAACTGACAGGTCTGTTCATGTCAGTCCCAGAATTACGCCCACTGCCCTGCATCAATTTCCAGCTCTTATTTGTGTGAGAAATATACAGAGATTAATGGAAAGCAGCATCTGCAAACCTCTCAGTTACTTTGAGAGAGCGGTTTACTGTCAGAGTTACTCTTATCATAAAATCATAGAATCAGAGAATCTGAGAATAATTTGGGTTGGAGGGAACCTTAAGATTTATCTTGTTTCAACCCCCTGACATGGGAAGGGACACCTTCCACTAGACCAGGTTGCCCCAAGCCCAGTCTAACCATATAGAATATATGAATATATGCAGTGAATAAACTCAAGAAAAAACAAAAAGGAGAAGAAAGTAGCTATCTTTCGAGTCAGCTGATGGGGACCATTATTTTCTCCCCTTTCTGTAGTTATGTGCATTGCATTCAGTGTTCCTCTGAGTTCCTCCTGAGCTGGCAGCAGAGCATAGCACTCTGAAGTAGTTCTGTGGGTCCGAGACTGAATCTTGAAAGGGCGAGGTCCTGAAGATGTTGCCATGTTGTGTTCCATCCCTGACAAATAGGAGCTTCTGGAGCAGCCCCACCTTGAGCATCCATTTCTGGTAACAAGGGGTAACCTTGGGGGTAGGAGTGTAATGTTAGATTGAATTTTCACACTATGAGTGAATCCAGCCTGACAAAGAGCTTCCCTAGTGCTGAACAGTGCTATGCCTGGGTCCAGCACAGAACTGGGGAGTCAGAGAATCTGAATGGTTAGAAAAGCCCTCTGACATTCTCTTGTCCAACCATTAACTCGACACTATTGTGTTAACCTTTAAACCATATCCCTAAGAACATCATATTTTTGAACATTTTCATGGATGATGACTCCACTGTTTCCCTGGGCAGCCTGTTTCAGTGCCTGACCACCCTTTCAGTGAAGAAATTTCCCTTAATATCCAACCTAAATCTCCCCTGGTGCAACCTGAGGCCACTTCCTTTTGTCCTCTCACTTGTTATCTCCCTTCTTTTAAAGCAAGAAAGGCACATACTCACCTCTGCCCAAACTTTTGTGAGAAATGTTGTGTAAAGGCAAGTTGATGCTGCAGTTCCTGGTACACAGGCACTGCTGCCACGAGGACACCTCGCCTTGGCAGCACCTGCACTCCTGGTCCTCACCTGCTCTGAGTAGCTGTGGAGGGGGAAAGGCAGGAAGGAATCCCCTTGCAAGCACACAGTGCAACACCTATGTGAGAGTCTGTGAAAGCAGCTGGGAGCAGGGGCTGTGCATCGTGTTGGGGTAGCGTTAACAGCCTTCCCCAAGGCCTGCCCACATGTTTTTTAAGACGACAAGAAAGCCTGAAGAGCTCCTGGCTAAGCAGATAGCAGCATCACTCCATGGAGCTTCAGTGAGAGCGCAGTGCCCATCTGACAGGAGCATTCCCCAGGCTCGCTGCTCAGCCCTCACAGCTGAAGAAATCTGCCTTCCGGTGCTTGGTAAGGTGCCTTTACATACATTTATCCCAAGGGAATGTGAGGCAGCAAAGCCTTGGGTTTGTCCTGTTCAGTGTCAGGCTCTGGTTGCAGCTTGTTCCCATTTCTGAGAGGCTGAGGACCTGAGCACCCTTTCCTGCAGCAAGATTCTTATCCTAACTGGAAGAGAAGCTCTCAAAGGCACCACCATGAATTAGGCCAACTAAAATCTTCCTGTTGTGCTTTTAACTGGTGCATTGATCCTTTTCATGTGGATCGTGAATGCCTGTGGCTCACAGCTGAGGATGTCTAACAAAGGCAGCAAAAATAATCAGAAATACCATTGATTTTTTTGCCATTAGTGTGTGCAGGGCAACCCCACCCATTCACATCACCTTCCTGCTTCTTATAAAACCTGATGAACTTGTATTTCCTCTATTCTTTCCCAGCGTTGACAGTGGAGATGAAAAGTGAGGTGGGGACTCACATCCCAGACCTTTTTGGGGTTTCCCCCTTTCCCAGTCCCTCCTGTCTTTGGGAAGACATGAACCATCCTTTACACAGCTCCTCAGCTGTCCTTCCTTTACCCAAGAGCTTCACTGAAGGAACTGCTACTGTGATGAAGTCCATCTGGTTTTATCAGAGGGATTAGCTAGGATTATGCTCAAAAAACCACTCATTCACCCATTTGCCTCTAACAAGAACATGCACAAATACTCCTCATGCAAAGGGACATTTTCTCCCTCTCCTCACCTCTAAAGAGCTGAAGGGTTTTGAGAGATAAAAAAACTTTGTTTCTAATGTTTTGTTAGGAATAAATGGCCACTGTGTGATGAAATTAAATAAAATCAACCCCCCCCTTTGCTGAAATCTTCCCTAATTCCCTCTTTGTTTGGCAAAATGTCCCAGCCCTGAAATCTTTTCAAATCAGTGGGGTGTGGGAGCTTTTCCTCTGGCATCATGGCTGGAGCAGCTTAACTACTCTGAGTTCAGTCCTGCATCCCAGCAGGCTAAGTCACACTCATTTTGCAGTAAAAAAAAAAAATCAAAAGAGAGGGAGTCAAAAAATCAAAATCAAACTCCAAAGGGAGTTGGCTTTGCACAGACTATCTGGAATATGTGAATTATGACCAGAGTTAGGCAGAAGCTCATCTTTTTGCTTTCACCTAAAACACAGAGCATATTGTGGAAAGCCCTCAGAACTCTTTTCCCTCTATTCTGCACTGATAGCAGTAGTGTTCTCTGAGCAAGTTGTCCCT